TGCTAGGTTTGACTGTGCCAATCAATGCTAGACAGCTCAGTAGAAAGCCTTTGTGGGCCAGCGCTGATATTAGAGACTCCTTAGTCACAGGGGTTTCTAAGCAGCATAAGATGTGATGGATTGTCACACAGCACGTAATGCCAACCAAACTGGCACACATGTGCACACCACTACCATCAACAGGCTCTGAGAGTCCCCACACAGTTCAGAGGAGAGGGAGTTTGGAAAGGACAGACTCAAAAGTAGAGTCAACCTAGAGGAGAAGTTCTTAAGATGCATACAGGCCAAGTGTCCATGTCTAAACCTGCCCAATGTATCTCTGCAGACTTTGTTCCTGCACAAAGCAATGGTGGGGCTGGAAAGCAGGAGACAGCAGCAAGGAGTGCTGCAGAGCAGAGGCGGTGGCTTCCAGTACACTACACCTCCACATTCTGTTGTTGAAAGCTAACAAACACAGTCTTCAATTTTCAAAAATCAATAAGCGAGTTTTTAAGATAGGAAAATTACCTTATGGATGACAATGACAAGTCAAAGACTCTGGAGGGAAGTAGGGTATCTGGGGAGAAGAAAAGCTGTTTGTGAAAGAAGGAAGTTGAGTCCCTTGCTTCCCATAAATGATGATGTTATCTTTTAGACATAAAACATGATGCAAAAACAAATGGACACATATTTATAAAGCTCTCTGAAACTGAGACTCACAGACTGTGCATGTCATACTGACTGCAGGCTTCAGTACATGGTCAATGGAACATGGTATCATCAGAAGATGACTCAGGTTATACCTCAGTCTGTATCTTTTGGAGAAGCAATGGATCCCAACTCAGGGGACCAGGCAAGCTAACCTGAGACAGGCTACATGGTTCTTCACTTGAGCAGCTACTGTGAGGCTATCCAGACTCATCACTCCTGGATAAATATATCAGAAACAAAGGGTAAATGTAGAGCTACAGATATATCTAATGGTAGAGAGTTTGTCCAAGATGCATAAGGCACTGGGGTCCCCATCCTCATTACTCACTGGAGTTCCCACGCAAATGGATGTAGAGTTATTGATAAGATAACCAAGCCCTCTCACAGGAATGCCCTGGTCAACTCAGTTTACAACACACAGGATCCTACAAAAGCTATTTCTGTATTTGATGAACAGCAAGCACTGCTTTTAACTGTGAAGCAATTTTCCCAGTTCCTGGGGTGTTCTAGAAAAACAGAAATGTTTTAAAATGAATTCTTTCAAACTAATTAAAATATCTTAAAGTAGTCAAGTGCAGTGATGCACACTTTTAATCCCAGCACTTGGGAAACAAAGGAGATCTCTGAGAGATTGAGGCCAGCTTAGGTCTACATAGTGATTTCTAGGCCAGCTGTGGCTTCAGGGAGACTCTGTCTCAACAAAACACCCAAAACAAAATATTCTAAAGTAATAACCCATCAAAGTGTTTCTTTTAAATCTATAAGTACTATCTCCAAAGCAAAAGAGAAAAAATACACATTATAGAAAGAATACGTGGCTTTAAATTTGAAGAAGGATGGAGGTTAGGTGGAGTAAGTTGCAATAAAGTTCTGATTTGCTTTCAAAGCATAAATAAGGATTTTCAAGCGCTACACTGCCAGGGTCTGTGGAGACATAATAGGGAATTAAACTGATGAATTTGCCCATCTCGGATCACAATAACTAGATGTTTCAACAGTCTTTCAAAAACAGAGAGATGAGACAGTGGCAGTAGAGGCTTGATGAGTGTGTGAACATCAATTCCACAGTCAATATGTGATGCTTCTTTTACTGTGCAACCCACCTTGACTACAAGATCTGTCCCTTGTTTGCATCAAATTCAAACCTCAGGTCTGTATAGCTCACCTGCTGACCGACAGAAAGCATTCCACAAATGGTTCTTATTGACATTTTTCATTCACTATTTGAAACACAGGATGTGTTCATGACTGTGAAAAGTCTATTAAGTGCCTCAAGATTTAGTTATTTATGATAAAGAAGCATCCTTGTTACGTTTCCAAATTGTTACATTAGTTTTTAGGAAACTAAGGGAGCATCACATTAATACATGAACACCTAGCAACAAGATTCAACACGCCATGTCATCCAATGTGGAAATCAATACGAGGAATAAATACACAAATTAATGAAACCGATGTAGAATAGAGAGGTTATACTTCATGAAGTTAGACACAACAAAGTGGTGGTCAGTATTGAGGAAGAAATAATGTGACTTTCCAATCTCTGATACAAATTACAGCTAGTCCTAACTTTACAGATGTCAACAATTTTCAAAACAAACTTCACAGAGCTTTGTAGTTTAAGTAAAATGGTGCCAGAGAAATGGATTAACCTGAAGACATTGATTTAGCTTTCCAAAATCAGTAATTCAACCCACTGACAGCAGAATATTGGTAACTCGAGTTTGTGTGTGTGTGAAAATTACGCTCTGGCCTTTCTTCCACCAGGTTCTTACAAACAAGGTGGGAAATGGAGAGACTGAAAGGGTATTCTCCAGCACTGCACCCATCTGCCTCTATTGAAAAGTGGGGATGCTTTGATTCAGCCACTTAAAACTTTAAAAACAAAACGAACAGTTTAATCAGTCTATACTATCATGAAAATGAGTTTAATGTACTTCAGTAACATAATGCATTCAGCAGGCATATTTTGTATTACTAATTCATTAAACAGATATTCATGGAAAATTCCCTAAGAGTAAACAAACTGACTCTTTTGCGATAACCATCCACTTAAGGAAATTGTATTTATGACTTCAAAATCATAAAAGGGAAAATAAAAAGAGTACATATCTGCCATGCATATTCCTATAAAACACTTCATAATATTTCCAGATACATAACATAGGAAACTATTTTCATAATGCATAACGTCTATAAATTTATGAAGTAGCCACTAAGATGATACTCTCCTTAAATTTTTGAATTTCTTATACTATTAGCTCAAATGACTGAAATTATGTTTTAATTTGGTCTTTCACTTTAACAGACTAAAGCTTGTCTAAACAGATCTCAACCCTTCCCAAAATATAATGCCAACAACTCCTCATTCACAAGGCATACTTTTCTCTTTTATATAACTGAGGAATGAGGTGACTAAATAGAGATTAAATTAATAGAGATAATGTCTATTGAGCATGATGTACAAATGTAGTGACTACTCTTATGGTCAGACTACATCTCCTACTTTTAATAATTTACTTTTGCTTTAACTTGGGGCACTTTTCTAGTATTCTTTGGTTGGGGGTTCCAGTTCAATTACATGTTACAAAGACAAGCAGCAGAAACAGAAAAATGCATAAATCATTCAAATTATTACCACAGATTTTAATTTTACTAAAGTTAAAAATAACATTTTGAACATGTAGAAATGATATACAATTTTATGATAATATTGAAATATTTCTACATATTCATTTTGTGGCAATTTCTCCACCATCTCATATAATAACCCTAATAGGAAATTGATCTCAATTTAATATACTTCAATATAATATTAAACATCATCTTTAAATTGAACACACACCACAGCTATCATTTGCTTTTAAGGTTTAAAAAGTTAAAATGAATTTGAATAAAATTCATTGCATCTTGCAATTACAAAATTTCTATAAGTTTACATAACCTAAGGTATCCACAAAGGAAGTATGCCTCTTGTAAACATGAAGCAGTGTAAATCATAAATCTGTTACAATTTAAATAGTGGCTTCTATTTTCACTCAAGCAGAACAGAAAGATTCCATGTATCAGTATTATCTATTCTACAGCAAAAAAACAACATTGTTTTTGCTTGATGGGGTGGGAAAAGAGTAAAAAGGCCATTGACTGTGGCAATATCCAGAATTTTAGTCACAGTAAAGTCAAATTTTAGGATAAAACATTCAGATCATTTTTGTCTTTGCAGAATTTCAGCTGGTTTTTCTATCAAAGAATTCCATGAGTGTGTCACTAAATGTTAAAGTCTTTGCAATAAATTCATGTGATTTTAAAGTTATTTTTAAAGCATCCCTTCCCCACTTCAAGGAAATGACTGCACATTGCTCCTTGATAGTAATGCATTGCCTCTTCATTTGTTTTAATAGTTAACTTTAAATAGGGAGAGATGGAGCTTTTTCTGAATCTGGAAGTAAAAGCAAAGACCAACAATGAACCAGTGGTGACCAACAATGAGCTAGCTCACATTGTTTAATGAGCAGGAACACTTGGCTCTTAGGAATGAATTAATTAAGTGAATGGGTAAAACATAAAGAAGAGGGAAGTTTCTTTTAATTTTTCTTGAAACAGTCATATTTAAGAATTAAAATGTTTGTGAAACAAGGCAACTCCTCATGTGGTATGGGAGATGCATGTGAGAGATGGAATTCTATTCTTAGACTTGTTACAACTTTCTCTGGTAATTAGGAAGCTATATGTCCCTGATAGAATGTCGCTAACAAGCTCCTGCAGTTTCTGCACTAGCAAGAAATCAAAGACCCAAAGCAGACAACTCACTTCAGTAAAAGGATTATGAAGTCTGGTTATTAAGGCACAGAATGCTTGACCACAATTTTCTTTCTGAAGGGACTTTCTAAAACAATTAGTTTCTAGGGCCAACAGGACTTACTAACTGAAAATCAAAGTTAAAGTGTAGCCATGGAATGTATTTATGAAAACATAAACATAAGTTATTAGAAGACACCTCTCTTGGGTAACTGTTATACATTAAGATATTTCTCCAGAAAAGATGGAAAGGTGACATTCATTATAAGAAACACCAGATCTTACTTGGGACTGCTCATGAAACACAGAAGGTTTTCACCATTCTCGGGTCACCAGTACATTTATAGCTAGTTTGCATACTTCTTTTAAAAAACAAAGCCCCATAGGAACCCATGGAGGTGATGCTTGTGAATACTACTGTGATACCTATTCAACCGAATTCAGTCAGATGAATAACCACCTAGAAAGTAGAGAAGAGTCAGGGGCTCGGCCCAACCAGAAGGGCAACATACCTTAAGGACTTCCATCGGCACCTGGGTGGCAGAGGGAAGGGTGGTGGGCACGCTGACGTTTATAGCTGGTGTCTGACCCACGGGCACTCTCTGTTGTATGAACTGAGCCGCCTGCAGCTTCTGCTGCTGCTCCCTGCGCTCCTGCTCCTGCATCTGCTCACGCATGAGTTGCTGGCGTAGCAAGATGCGTGATGTCATACTGGAGGAGCTTATCGGAGGCTTGGAGGCCCCAGGATGCTCCGCAGAACTGCTGTGGGGAAACCAGAAGGCACACAACATTTAGTAACCTAATCAGACCCATCGTCTGAACGCGGGGTATCCTAAATGGCACCAAACTAGGAGGTGAGCCTGCACAGATATAATCAAGGCACAGAACAGCATTCCACATAATTGAAAATCAAGAGTTGACAGGATTCTAAGTCATTAGTAGTTGAATTAAAATAAGTCAGCCTGATTGCATCTAGGCATTTTTATCAAACCACTTAATCTTTTTGACATTTTCTACCACACACTGTTCATCACCACCAAATGTGCCACCATATGCAGCAGCTCTAAGGAGCTACATGCCTTAAAGACACCCAAGTTTCCACTTTTAAAAATAAGTTACTTGATTTGCTTTTGTACATAATCTAACCAACCAATGACTCCTACATGTTATCCTCCTAAACTCCTGAAGATGTCTAACTGTTTTACCAGTAAGGAAGCACTAAATGAAAGAAGCGTTTGTACCAGAATATTAACACTGAATTCAGCCTCTGTCTTCCATCAAGGGGTCAGAAGAGAAGCTGGCCTGACAACCCAAGTCTTCCTGGCCTGGTTTTCTTTGTACATCTTTCTTGTGATTCATCTGGGCATGCCCGAGGCAGTCAGTAAGTGCTCTCTGCTTTCCCCATGGTCTGAGACTCACTCTAGTTACCTTGTTTAACATGCTTAAATACTGGTCAGCAGGCAAGAATGATTCCCATTTTCCTTAGATGCTGTTTTTGGTTGCTTATCTTGCAAACTCTGTGATATCAATAAATAATAAATCTCTCTCCACCTGAGTTTCCCTACCTGGAATAGTGGTGAAACAGCAGCTTTTTACCCATTTATAAAAGTGAGGTTTGTTATTTATTTCTCCGCTGTACTATTTATAATTGAAAGTCTTGCCTGCTAAGGGTAGTGGTTGTGAGGTTTGACTATAAAAAATTCCATAGTCTCCACATACAATGAGTGTAGCCTCAGTAAACACTCTGCTTGCTAGTAATCTCATCTAGCAGTTCCTCATTAGTAATTAAAGTTAACTATAACTCTTCCAATCTCTGTCAAGCCATACAGTATCAAATCTTACATCTGGAAACAGGAAGAAATGAACATCACAGCCCATCAAGCTTCAGGGGAGATATCTGCACTTGGCTTTCTTCCTTGACCGTACACCCCAGTACTACCTTTACATTCCCACCAAAGACAAACAGAAGCCTTGACATCCCTGCCATCTCTTGAACTCCTTGAGGATAGGTGTTCAGGTGACACAATGTGCTATAGGATGAAGATGTGATTTTTCACTCTCATATAGTTCCAAAAAGACCCCAGAAATCTGTTAATTTTCAATACATAAAATTGGTTCATTAAATTATAATTCATACATTTTAATACCATTCAGCCTTTATAAATGGTGTAAAATGTATTTATTGATGTGAATAAAACTATACAATCTAATAATGTTTTAAAAGCAGAAGAAAAATAGCATTGTAGGTAGCATCCAGGTTTTTTTAAATTATTTACTTAATAACCATATAATTAGAAGAAGCATTTCATGACAACAGCACTGACATAGTCAATAACAATTTCCAGAGCTAAGATGCATCTGTTTCAAGATTGGCTGTAAATTTTTAGGTTTACAGCTCCATTTCATTATTAAAATACAGTTTCATACAGAAAAATTCATTTTTAATGCAATTGACACTAAGATATTTGCACATGTGTTTCTAATCTCTATATATCTGATTATTACTAGTCACAGTTGGTTACTTTTTGAGCTCCTTGGCATCTGAACATGGATATAAAGTCATCAGGTAGATTTCAATGATAATGTTTTTCACGTGTATAGTTTTTCACAACTATACAATATAATAATGTTTTAAAAGCAGAAGAAAAATAGCATTGTAGGTAGGATCCAGGTTTAAAAAAATGTTCATAAGAAAAAAAGCATAATGATAATGTTGTATTATTATCCTTTAAAGAAATGACATTATCAGAAAGCTAAAAATGTGTGTATTCAATTCGATTCTGAAATTTTCTTGATGAACAATTTTCCTTAGAAGTCATATATGGGAGAACTGACATTTACAAATGACTCTACAGATTGTAAAATATCTTGAATCACCTAAATTTTCCTTCAAATAGTAGGATAGTTAAGTAAATTATGACAGATGAATTCAATAAAATATTATTCCTTTTTTTAAATGCAAAATGTACACCAAAGTAGGAAATATGTATAGTAAGAATGAACTATAAAGTAGGATTCAAAAGTGTATTTTCAGTCTGACTCAAAGTAAGCATGGCATGTATATGTGCATAAATACACAAATTCCTAACAGGGACTGTAGAAGAGTGATCATACTGGCTCTAGTGGGGATACAATGAGAGATAAACTGATCTTTCTTTAGTGTCTCTCCTCCTCTTTAAAGCTGCAATAAAGTCATATTTTTTCAGTGGCAGTATGTACACTAGATGCCAATTAAAGAAAAGGCCAAGATGACTTATGTGATCAAAGTCACCACTTGGCTAGAAGAAAGGAGACTGGGCCCATCATAGATAGCACTTCAAACATAAGATGGGAACGCAGTGGTCTTATTAATCCAGTTCATCAGTTCTCCTGAAAATCTTCAGCAACCCTCAAACTTAAACCATCTCTGCTGTTTCCCCTACACTTCCTATAAGCACATACGGAGCATAAGTAGTGCTGGTACCTTTCTTATTATCTCCACATTATATACTCATCACATAATGAAAACACTCCCTAGCCATTGCTCTGTTAACCTAAAACTATTTACTTGCATGGGATCAGCTAAAAGAGCATCAGGAAAAAACGCATTTTCCCACTTTTGAGTGCTTGTTCAAAGCTCAAATGTACTTTCCTAAGCCAAGAAAAGAAGGGGGGCACCTATTTAAAAATAAATAAGTGGTCTTTCTATTCAAAGCCTGTCAGCTCCGAACATTCTCAGAGAGACTGATCCTTTTGATAAAAACAGGAGCAAACCTTTGTGCAGGAGCTAAGGCAGCTGAGGAATAATCGCACTAATTAGCTGCACAAGACAAGTGGCCGGCTGTGATACTAGGGGAAAATCCTTTCAATTAACAGTAAAACATTCCAGAGACAACTTAAAATTACTAGCTAGCAAGTCCAAGAAGATTTCATACTTTAAACACAATAACATCATCATTTAAAGCATTTTCTGAAATAGCCTATCAGAAAAAAAAAAAAAAAGATACAGACCTATACAATAGACTAGCACAAATAAGTGGAAACCTGATGAAAGAAACTAGAGCAAATATATCTTATAGCTGTAGAAATATACTAAAGCTCAGCTAATTGGCAGTTCTAACACAACCTCTAAGGCAAGAAAAGTGCAAAGGAAGCACTGGAGCCACTTCGCTGTGCACTCATCCCCTGCAGGCTATCTCCATGCTTTGAGACACAACGCCCAGATTCTCAGCTTGGCTCACAATCTTTTGAGAATCTGCTTCCTTAGAAATAATTGAATCTGCAATTATCACCTTATAGACAAAAATGAAGACATCTAGATTTCATCACATTAGTAGGACAAATGAGCCCAATTTTCACAGCTCAAAATTGAGGCTTATGTGAGGAATATCCCAAGTGACTATAATGATTACGTTAAAGATGAAGATATCGCCAAAGCCACTAAGAACACACAAGGAAAGATGTCCAATGGCTCTAATTTTACAGCTAACGTAGCTATCCCTGGGCCCACCAATCTTAGCCCTGACTATATAATCCTAACTCTGAGTCTGATTCTTTTTATCATATTATATAAAGTTCACTGATTCAACAACTAGTTACTGCCAGGTGTTGGGAGTACCTGGCTTCTAACTTCAGAGTTTAAAGTCCTGGCTATACTAATTCTCCTGAAATGCCTTCCAGTAAGTCAATTATTGGATTTCTGGATTCTGATGTAGTTCCACATGGGAAGGTCTCTCTCTCTCTCTCTTGAGAGATTAAGGTCAGTCTGGTATACATAGCAAGTGCTAGGTCAATTGTTGCCTCTCTCTCTCTCTCTCTCTCTCTCTCTCTCTCTCTCTCTCTCAAAAGGGAAAACCCACTGGCTGCACATGCCTCTACTGACATGTCCCTGACCCTGCAGTTACACACAGCTCTCTGAGCACAGGACTTATACCATATTGTAATGACAAGGAGGGCCCTCAAGTTGATTCAAGTTCTAGCTCAGCCCCTGCTGAGGAATGTGAGCCTTAATGAGCCACTTGACCTCTCTCAGTGTCCCCCAAATATACCCCCTAAAAGGACCGTGAAGGTTGGGTTAATGAATGTTACATAAATGAAATCATTCAACACAGAGGCTGGAATGCATTGTGCAGACAAGCAGTAGCCACTAAATGTAGCCTAAGTTCCTACTTACTAATGAGTTTACATTCTTGGCCTTCAAAGCCTCCCCCTTATAGGGGTACCAGAAAGACTTCTGACTTACCTGTCATATTCCTATGTCCAATACTTTATTCCATGGCTTTTATCAATCACTTGAAAATATCAGAAACCCATCAGACCTAATACCTCAGCATCATACCAACATCACTCTCACTTATGACAGTGATGTCAGAGTCTCTTAGTAAGATCACATGAACCCATCTCTGGTCTCAATATTGTAGTTCTCCAAGGCAGGAATCCAATCAGCTAACACCCAGAGAGGCTAAAGAGCTGGGGAACGTTCCCCTATATTTCCTTCAATTTCTCAGGCAGAACATAACTCCACTACAGCCCATGACGTGGGCCAAGCAACTCCATCTCTTTGCTCTTTGGTTTTTCTGGTTTTTAAAGTGTTTTAATACATTTTCTCCTTAACACTGTGGTAAAGACCAAAATATGTAATAGATATAAAAAGCTCAGTATGATGGCTGGAAAAATTAATGGTAAAAATATAATATTAAGTCATGAAAATGCTACTTTTTCTTGATAAAATGAGGCAAATTTTGATAGCCTTGTTATAAGTATGAACTAAAGGAGATATGCCT